CCATCTTCAAGTTGCCGAGGTTGAAAAACATGGCAGACATTTTCTTCTCCTTTCCTGTTCTTTTAGCTTGATTTTGAAGAGAAAAGCACCTATTGAAGGAGACTGAAAAGAAGTTACACTGCATTGTCAAGATTGCTGGAGTTTAGAACCCCCACTTAAGTCTTCCATTTGCCTTAAGATTCAAATACATCCTTAGTTTTACTTACAAGTAGGGCAGGTCCAAATGTAAGAAAAGGCTGTTGTCATACTTTATGTATCATTTGGAGGAGGACAGCTATTAGTTTTCACTTTGGTATTAAGCATGTGTATCAAACACACATTTACAAATCTGAAATTCATACTGATTAATGCCCATTGAGAGTAGAGATTTAAAAATTAAAAATAACACAAGAAACATGCTAACATTTTATGAATTAACAGGATAAGTTCAACCTTTCTGTGAATGTTGTGTCTCAGTGTGAAACTTACCTGTCCAGCAATGCCAGCAAGGTAAGTCGATCGTACCAGATTTTTATCCATTTGCCAGGAAAAACAATAAATTTGTAAAACTGTCTATTAATTTTTCTTTGAGCTGATGAGCATGAAGAATCCTCAAGGTCTTCGCTAAAATGCTTCCAACATGAAATTAAAAATAAAAGAATTGTATATCATTTTCATAGCACTGCTTTGTATAAAGATAGAGCTTTGATACAATTTGATAGTTTGTTTCTTTTTAAGTGGGTATAATCAAACAATGATCATAGTCACTATTTTCTTACAGGTTAACTTTTTTTTGGTAAACTTGAGTATATTCAGTCTTGCCTAATTTCTTGCACATGGCAAATACTGGGATGTTTTTACTGCCCTTATAAAATTATCAATTGAAATACACTAGAGCAAAACAATCTAAGTCCCCCAAGGTAGCTCGGTGTGTGGCATTTAAGTGTTGCCTATAATCTGAACACAAATGGCATTACATTTGGAAATACTGGGGAAAGTATTTTTCTTATTTTATTTAGAACCAATTTGGTGTGGTGGTTAAGAGACATTAGGCTAGAAGCCTGGAGATCAGGTTTATTCAGGCAATCAAATGAGACAACACTTACTTAAAGGAGATTCATACTATACATACATACATACAATAAAATTTCTCAGAACAAAGTTGTTTTTTAACTCTTTTGCTCCTTTAAAAAAAATTCATCAAATCAAATTTAAAAACCCTTTTTGTCAACATAAAATTTAGTATAATAGCTGATGCTTAGTGGAAAATTAGCTATTCTTCCATTTGCATGCTATAACAAGCTTACACCAACCTCATTTGAAAGGTGCAAGTTTATATAGCTAGACTGGAAGATATTCACATTTTTTTTAAAATATATAGGTACTGAAATGTTACATGGTACCCGGTGGGTTTCAGAAAGAGCTCCGCGTGCCAGCATCAGTAAGAACTGTTGTTGCCGTGCCCTTCGTCCATGTTCTCCAGTAGATGCTTCTTGGATCTCTGAGGTAGTTGTACTAGAGGAGCTGAAATGGATTTCACTGTACGCATAAAAATAAAGAGATAAAAAGAGTAGAATTAATTAAAAAGTATATGATTAATAACAATTTGGAGTGTCTGCTGGGATGGGGTGATAAAGAAAAGTCAAGATGATAAGATGCAACCATGAGATCAAAGCTACCATCTTGATACCCACTCACCCACCCAGACACCCCCAAATCTATGGAGAAAAAACAAGAGGCTTCAGAGACTGGCTATATTATCCGGGGGCTCCCCACAGATTCAGGGAAAATCTTATTCCAATTTTCAACTTCAGAAGGGCAATATGAGTGAGTTGAAATTCCTTCTACAAATGTGCCAATAGCTGACATTAGAATTATGCAGATAGCTCTCTTGTTCCTCCCAGGTCACTGCTTATGACACCTGTGACACTTGATAACAGCTTAAACAATAATTCCATAGTTTGATCAATATTTGTAGGCTGTATAGGTGCCTATCCAAACAATCATGAAGGGCAAAGCAGCGGATTTTTTTGAGGTAGGACATACTTTTTTTTAAACTGCTTCTATCTTATACCTTTGGGATTTATTAGAGGTTTCAAGGTAAAAAAAAAAGAAGCAGACCCATCAATCAAACAGGCCTTTGGGTTCAGACCCAATGTAGAATTGATTCAAACTATAGGCTGGCAAAATGTCACCCTAGTTTTTTGGTTGCTGTAGATTCAACCATTGAAAGAAATAATAATTAAACCAAACAAGTCCTGTTTCATGAATAAAGTTTGATTTCTAGTGAGTTTCTGTGCATAACCGAATTGGCTAACTGCAAGAATATAGAAATAATATAAAATAATAGTATACAATTATTAATCCAATAAATGCAATCAAATTAATACAATTAAAAATCATTGGGAGTTCTTAATTCTTAATTCTGTAATAATGTACAGAATTATTATTGATTCACAAGTACTCTTCAAATGTTTAGTTGAAAATTAGAATGCCTGACATAGAAACCAACTCAAATTCAGCTCTGGTAAAATTATGTGATTTGTCAGCTTAGCTAATATATTGGTCTCAAATAATGCAAGAAACAGCACAAGTAAAGTTTTAATTATGGCAATTTTAGAGAAACATTTTAAAGACTAAAGTATCATTGAAAAGAATGGGGTTTATGAGTAAGCATGCATAGAATTGTATTCTATGACATCCCATTTACATTGTGTATGAAATTAAAAATCATGGAATTTTGTGGATGTAATTGAAAGAGATTGTCTGGCTAATTAGTCTGTTAAAACAGCTGCATCTTATATTAACTATTGCAATTTTCAGAATAGCTTAAGATTCTAAATCAGCTGAGATCTATAGTTTACAACTATACCTCAAACACAACTTTTAATATTATTTAACGTTCTATTTAGACTACTTGCAATCTGGTGTCTAATATGAAAAAGAAATCAATAAAATAGAAGCTAGGAAGATGAGATAAATACTTTTTTTCCCCCTTGTTCTTTTCCTTATGACCTAAAATGATACATCTGCCCTAGAGTTGACTATTCTGTTAAAAAGATTTTGACTGCCACCATGTGGCAAAGTTTTTTTTGCATTTACTTTCCTTTTTATTTGACACACATGGTATGATCTGATCTTGTGCAATCCTCTCCTCCCAGTTCCCAGAGCCTTTAGACCAGAGGTAGTCAACCTTTTTATACCTACCGCCCACTTTTGTATCTGTTAGTAGTAAAATTTTCTCTAACTGCCCACCAGTTCCACAGTAATGGTGATTTATAAAGTAGGGGACAAAACCCTTACCGCCCACCATAAAAGCTGGAACGCCCACTAGTGGGCGGTAGGGACCAGGTTGACTACCACTGCTTTAGACAAAGGTCACATTAACCAATAATTCAAGGAACTGTAATCCCAACCATATCTGAATGGTGCCAGATAGGGCAGTGATGGTGAAACTTTTTGTTGTGGTGTGCCGAAAGCACGTACGTGTGAAATAGCATGCACGTGTGCCAGCAGCCACAATGCAATGTGCCCTGCCTCCCCTGTGTATGCGTGCGCAACACACACACTCCACCCCTTACCTGCACTGCATATGTGTGCGCCTCCCAGCTGATTTTCTGGAAATATCAGAAGTGACGAAACGGGCCTGTTTTTCGACCTCCCAAGGCTGCAGAGGCTTCCCTCAAGCCTCTGGAAGGCCGAAAACAGGCCAAAAATCAGCTGGGAAGCGCACACATGCGCAGTGCAAGTAAGTTTGGCTGGGGCTCATGTGCCCACACAAATGGCTCTGTGTGCCACCTGTGGCATGCGTGCCATAGGTTCGCCATCACGGAGATAGGGTAAGACTGATCTATAATAAGAGTTCTCATCCTTGGCAACTTGAAAATGTGAGGACTTCAATTCTCAGAATTCCCCAGACAGGAGTTCCAGAATTCACCACCCATCTAGGGTAGGCTAGGGAATTCTGGGAGTTGAAATCCATACATCTTCAATTTGGCAAGATTGAGAAACACGGATCTAGAAAATTAACCGAGAACCGGTGTGATATAGTGGTTAAGATGTAGGACTAACAACCTGGAGACCCAGGTTCAGGTCTACTCTTAACACTCACTGCAGACTTTTGGCTAATTATTCTTGCAGTCCAACCTATCATGCAGGGACATTGTTGGAAGGGAAAATTAGAAGAGGGAGCCTATATATACACTTTGAAGGAAACATGAGATATAAGTCCAATAAATGAATTCTATTTTCTTTGGCTAACCTACTGATGATAAAATGTTAATATACTGAAGCATCTTGACACATAATTATGTAATTATGGAAAAAAATGTTTGTCCCTAAAGAATGCTTTTTAAGAAATGCTGACTGAAACCACACATATTTGATTCACAAACACAAAAGAAATCCTAATTTCCATCCCATCAAGGAATATTCATGAAGTGGCTCTTTCATGCCTTCTCCTACAACCCCTCCCATTTCTGAACTGGGGGACAACGTTTCAGATTTGGCCCAAATTATGCGTCCTGGTTGGTAAAGGTCTCTACACGGGCTGAAATTAATGCTGTGCTAAATGCACCTTTGAATTAGGGGGTGCTGTTATTCTCACTGAAAAAGACAGTAGGGCATATCCTCCTCAAGAAGGCATAACTCAAGTTTGATATGCGCACCAAATCATGAGGAAAATAGTCCTCTTCTGCTATTAGGTGGGATTATACTTATTATAAGAGCTGTGGCAGTGTAGTGGTTAGAATGCAGTACTACAAGCGGCTCACTCTAGGAGTTCGATTCTGAGCAGCTGAGGGTTAACTCAGCCTTCCATCACTCCGAGGTCAGTAAAATGAGGACCCAGATTGTTGGGGGTGATATGCTGACTGTAAACCGCTTAGAGAGGGCTGTAAAGCACTGTGAAGTGGTATATAAGTCTATGCTATAGACTACCTGTATTGCAACAGTAACTTATATCACAGGAAAAATTTGCAAATACAGAATGAATGTGCTACTTGCATAAAATTAAGATATTTGTTAAATTATTTACAGGATATCATATAAAACTTATTCCTTTACTTTTATCCTAGATATCAGTTCAATTTCATAATAGAGTAGACGAGTGCTAGATAACCCGTTTTGCAAGTAAGAAGTCCTAAGTTCAAATACCGGCAATTATAATTAGAAGTTGGAGAAATACTATGATTTATTGAACACAATACAGAGCTTTAAGGAGAAAATATCTAAATAATTATACAACAGAGTCTATGTCATTCACATATGGATATTTCATGAAAATGATATTCCCAGTGTTTAATTTTGGAAAACCAAGCAACCATTCCAGAAATGAAATCCAGCACACGAGGAGCTTACTTACTGAGTATTGGAGATGCAATCATAGATGGGTGAATTTTCAATATTTCCTTCTGCTTGACTCCTTAAGTACAAGGATCTCATTTCTCCTTCAAATAAAAGGAGACATAATCTGTTGAGCAATGATCTGCCATGCACTCAGCTTTATAACTGAGAAATTAAAAAATTAGAAGGCCAGCTTTCCAGAAATAGAAATCCTATCTTAAGGTATCCTTGTCAATGACTTGCATTCTCTCAGCTCTATCTGATAAGACAAATTTCAGCACCATTGTAGCTGCTGCAACACAATCATTTTAAAATGTTCCTTGCCACAGCCCTAGCCTTGGCAACAATCCTCTTGTAACTTTGCATCAGCCATGGAGAAATCAGAACAATGGCATCTGAAAGGGTGGGTGTGTTAGCAAGTTTGTTAAAGCTTAGATTTGGCTATTAAAATTTAGTTCCAGAGTTTAACTCTGAAAGAAAGAGGTGGGTTGAGGGAGAAGCTAGAAGGAGAGAAGTTCATAGACTGAGCTGGAATTGGGAAAATGTTAGAGGGAAGACAGAAAGTCCACGTTTCATTAAGAGAGTATGGACGGGTGCTACGCTAAGTGTAAAGATTAGAATCTGGATGGTCTTGGGTACTGGTGGCACTGACATTCATCCCAAAGGAAAGTGCAGAAATCTCTGTAGCTATTGCCCACAGCACATTTAAATGCTGTAAAAGAGAATTTGTGGAATAGAATAAGAAAGGAAGGCAGAGAACAAGGATGGCTGTTGCAGCATCTGGAACCCAAATTGCAAAGGGAGAAACAAAGAAGAAAAAAAGAAAGCTTCAAAGAAGTTGAGAGGAGAGGAGAGAATGGTGGACAGTATGGAGCAAAATAAAGTGGAAGAGTTAGGAACTGTGCCAGGAGGCTATGAAAAGGGTATTTTTTGTGTGGGGAAAGTAGGAGGAAGGTGTATTGCATGTTTGACCCCTTGAGTAATTTGTAAAAATAATAAATGTGGGAAATAAATAAATGCACACATACACACATACATACTTGGACTGTGTATGGGGCATATTTGAAGTGTTGGTGATAACCTTCCAAACCTTAAATGTATAGGATCTATACATTTAAAAAACCTATCACAGATCTCTAATTGCCATGCCTCAATAGAATCCTGGGACCTATTCAGATACATGAGTCCGAGAAGCTAATCCACATGCACAGAGAAACCTAAGTGAGTTATCCAAAGAAAAAGCTTTCCCAATTCCTCCATATGAGGTTACCTTTTCCATCTATGAAGGAATAGATGTGCATTGCATCCACTGACATCTCTTCTTGCACCGATGCTTCAGGGCCACTTATGACTTGCAAGAGGGAACTGTCTGGCTGTGAAGTTACCCGATAAATGATCTGTCGTTGTCTGGTGCTCTGGTAACTTGTCAAAATATCAATAAGAAAAAAAAAGTGGGGGGAGAGAGTTTCAAAAGGAGCAGGTGAATTCTTTCTCTGCCCCACCCTAGCAATTTCTCATGAAACCAAGAAAATAGAGCAAATGAAACTTGACATGAACTTTTTCATAAGGCATATGGCCAACACATATTACTGCATACTTGAAAAATAAGAACACAGTTCTTACTGGGCAGTGAACTTTATTGGTTCTGGCATCACTGGATTAACATTAGTACAATCCTGAGTTTCCATCTCGGTTTTCTCCTGTTTGCAGGAACCATGATTTTCATTTTTTCCTGTTGTCAATGCACCCTCTTTTTTCTCTCTTAGAAAGCCATCTGAAAGACACAGAGAAAACGTTCCATGTACAACCTGGGAAAATATTTTGCTTGTATTTTTGTTTCCTGAATAAAATGGTCTTGACACCACTACCATAGAAAAATGCCAGACCTTTGAAAGTCAATTTATGATTACATTAATTCATAGCCCCCCACCCCACCCCAGAGATCAAAGTTAATAAATGTATTGGGCCAAGCACTTACATATGATGAATGATGTCCACTAATGATGCTGAAAAGTAGCAATATCATAAGTATTAAATGAACCATCGGCTGTCTTTTCCTTTATGCTTGTATGGATTGATGGCAAAGTGATTCATAACCTGAGTCTGTAGGAAATGTGACATTAAATCTTTCCTTTTCCTCCTTTTCTGTCTCTTTGATTTTACTGTCAGCTTCAGTCCAGATAGGTTTTCCTTCTCCTTCTTTTTTGACCTTTAGTCCTCATTCTTAAATTCTATACCTGTGATGGTGAACCTATGGCACCCATGCCACATGTGGCACGCAGAGCCATTTGTGCGGGCATGCGAGCCCCAGCCAAACTTACCTGCACTGCGCATGCATGCGCCTCCCAGCTGATTTTTTGTTCGTTTGAGGCCATTTTCGCCCTCCTGGTGGCTCGAGGGAAGCCTCTGCAGCCTTGGGACAAAAGAGGCCCATTTTCAGCCTCCTGAGCCTCCAGAGGCTTCCCTCGAGCCTCCAGGAGCACAAAAATGGCCTTTCCCCCAGGCTCCAGAGGCTAAAAATGGGCATTTCTGGTATTTCCAGAAGGCCCGTTTTTCGGCCTCCCGAGGCTCCAGAGGCTTCCCTCAAACCTCCAGGAGGGCGAAAATGGCCTCCAACGGGATGAAAATCACCTGGGAGACACGTGTATGCACAGTACAGGTAAGGGGGCAGGGCAGAGGTGTTGCAAGTGCATGCACAGGGGGGACAGGGTGCATTGCATTGTGGGTACTGGCACGCACGCTTTTGTCACACCACAACAAAAAGATTCACCATCACTGTTCTATACTCTGTCTTGTTCAGATATCTCTTGTATGCATTTTACTGCCTTCTATTTCTGGGACAATAGACTTCTCTTTTAAAAAAATATCCTATTCATTTGTTACCAGTTCTCCAGTTTAACCTAATCCCTTTAATATCTAGCTTTGATTGTCTTAATGCTAATACAATATTTCAACTATTCTTTTGCTTGCTTTCAGCCTCTAGATCTCTGTGATTCTTATCCACTTACTTATTGGTGAAATTACTTTTCCCAGAAGTTGATAGAACGACATACAAAGAGACCTGCTGCCAATCTAGTCCAACTTTTTATGTTATTCAGCAGCAACCAATCAGATATATCTGGGAAATTCAAAAGCACAAACAATAGGATGGAAGCTCTGCTCCCATTAGTTCTCTACTATGTTAAGTAAGAGGCATGCTATATTTAAGGAGATACTAAAATGAATAGAATGGAAAAACAGATCATTCACAAGTTTATGTAATAAACCTTTAAAATCACTTAAATTGGTAGCCAGCACCAAATTAAACAGCTTAACTTTCTTTATCTTCAGTTTGTTCATTTTGATAGATTATTCTAGATTCTAATATTGTAAAAGAGAAGTTTATTTAGTAAGTAGCTGAAAATTGTTTTATAGTATATGGTTTATTTTGCAATCTGTGATCAACGAACTATTCTGTTCAAAGCTGTAGGGACATATCCCTTTCTTGCATTAGGTAAATTAGAGTCTGAAAAGATAAATGTTAAGGCACAGAACTGAAAAATCTGATTTGCAGAGGATTTTGATATGGAAGAGGACTTCTATAATATGTGTGTGTGTGTATGCGTGTGTGTAATTTTATATGCACACACACTTCTAAAGAATCAATTGCGTATAATTGTAAGAAGGACTCCACTTGCTCTTCTCTAGAGGAAACCATGAAATGTAACAAAGAGTAAAAACAGCAAAGGACAATTGATATCCACTATGCAAAGAATCCACCAGAGTTGGGTGGCTCTAACAGGTTTGAATGAATGAATAAATAAATAAATGAACACTATAAAGTGGTACCTAAATCTAAGTTCTATGGCTATTGTTTTAGCCTGGGTAAAGAAATGTAGTTTTTTTCCCCTAACCCAGTAAAAGACCGAGATTAAAATCAGCAAGGAGACAATGTGTCTTCTTAAAAACTAACCAAATATGGTACCCAATATACAGTACATGTAATGAAGCCCCCCAAAAATCTTATCCATCTTATACCAATTAAGAATTTTATTGATACTTATTTTATCATGAGTGGAAACTGCTTTTATTGCACATTAATTCCTCACATTCTTTGTATGCACTGGAAAATAATAATTCGAATTATGCACGGTACCTCCAGCTAGCCCTTTATCTTTTACAGGCTCTGCTTTCAAATCTGGTGCTGTTGGCTTTGAAGTGTTGATGGATTCCAGCAGCGAAACAAATTCTAAGAAATTTGATTCATTTGGTATCTGCCCTTCTTTAGCTTCCAGGTCAGATTTTGAGGTGGGCAAAAGTTTTTCTTTTCCACTAACAGTCTCTGATGAGTTCTTATTTAAAAACACATCTGTCCCACTATCCACGCTGAGAACACGAGCATGTCTCTTCTCATGAGTTGTTTTATATAAGGGGACCTCCAAATTCCACTGGCCTTCTTCTGGGTCTTCTAGAATTTCAGAAGCATTTCCAAGACACATCATTCCTTCATGACTGTTTGATGGGTTGTCACTGATTTCCTTTCCAATATTGTCTTGTTCACCAGATTCATAGCCAGAACATTGATTAGATGACACATTTACGTTTAAATTCTCTGGGGTTCTCAAACTTTCACTTACTTCTTGAAAAGCATGGCCTCCATTCTCCTCAGATAGATCAAAAGTAATGACAGGGATTATCATTTGGTTGTTGCTTTGTTTACTGTCTTGAACTGTTGCAGCCACAGCAGATTCTGGATCTAAACCAGATTTCTCAGGACTTGACTGTTTCATGAGGTGCAAGCCCTCCAAATCAGTAGCTGAGTTATGGGTGCTACTCATGGTGATAACTATTTTAATGGGTTCATGGAGTGTAAATGGATCCCCAGAATGAGAACTGTCCACCAATGCAACAGCGATCTCACTTTCCGATTCATCAAACTGTGTTTTCAGGTCATCCATATAGGAAGAGCTTTCTGCAACTGTCTTAGTCTCCACAGTATTGCACCGAGGAAAACCAGCTCTAGTGCTGTCTTGAGCCGACCCATCCAATAAATTCTCTTTCCTTAAACATGTAGGATCGTTTAAATCCTCTAAAAAGAGGACAGGACTGTCCATACTCCAAGGCTCAAAAGAAATGCCTGTTTTTAAAATATCACACTGGGATAAAGAAAGATTTGGCAATTTTGTAGCAACCACATCTTTATCCAGTGGAGCATCTTCTTCTGTAAAGTTAGAAGGTTCTTCCTTCTCTTCTTTTTCTTTTGTTCCACCATTGATAATAGTCTCCATAGCATTCGGCTTGTTCACTATTACTGGTGTGGTGGAACTTGGCACACCTGTCACGGAAGCAGGCAAAATATTGGCTTTGATACAAGGTGAGGTCAACAATACTGGTGGGACAAGTTGTTCTTCTGAAACCAGTACTCCTAGTAAAAACAGACAAAGAGATACTGCATATCAACTTTCTCAGAAAAGACATTCCAGAAAAATTCTTTAAAATTAGCATTTAATGTGCAGTTACATCCCATTGCTTGGAATGGAAAGTGAATATGTCTCAATTTATTTTGACAGCACCTATTATTTTCTTCAGAGTTAGAACCTACAACAAATAATATAGATCAATAGAAAGTCATGAAAATATGCTCAGTATGTAACATTATTTTTTAAAGGTTAAAAACCCTTTATTTGTTCGTTTATTCAATTTCTATAGCTGCCTAACTTAGTCAGGTATCTTCAAAATTCAAAAATTATTGCTAATAAAAATTCTGAAAACACAAAGGCAATTATATATGTGTTCCAGGATAATGATGCGAAATGGAATTTGGATCAGTCGCTGGAGCCCATCTTCAGGGAATTTCTCTAATGGAATATGTGCCTTGGGCTGTTTTGTGAGCCGTGTTTGTGAGTCGTGTATTGTCTTCCTATTGGCTGATGGGCATGTTGATGGTTGATGATTGGCTATCATTTCCTTGTGCTGCCAAGCCCTCAGCTCCTAAGTATTTGATAAGCTGGTGGTAATTCAGTGCTCCTGTTAACTGACAAGGGGACTGTTTCCTGGACTTCAATTACTTTCCTGGCTGTCTTTGTGCCTGAATGGCCAATCATCTGAGTCACTGTAAAATTAAATGTGTCCTTGTTCGTTGCAAGGTGAGGCTACCAATGAGTTTAGGTCTTCTGGCCTGACAGCTGGCTTGTGTTCTTGCAATCTGGTGGTTAGACAAATGGGGAGGAAGCTAACCAGCAGATTGCAAGAACACATGTAAGCAACCCAAACTCATTTGCCATAGTTGTGCAGCTCTGCCATAGAATAGTGTTTGTGGCATACCTTTCAGATCTTCAATGGTTTCTTGAGCTGGCAGGTTCTGAAATGAAACACATCAATTAAAATGACGTGAACTGTAAATGTAACATTACATGTGTTTCAGAGCAACAATAATGTAATTATGTTCCATGTTCCATTAAACCAATGGAATCTCAAGATTAATGAATAAAACCATTGGATTTGAATATACAGCAAGATAGCTTGCCAGACAACCACGTTTACAAGAAAGTATGAGGTATAGGCATTGGGTTATCTGTTTTCACAATAAAAAGAAATTGGCAATAGAAGAGAATATTTTCGGTTCAGGGCTGAACTGTGGGGTGAACTGATGATATTACCTTGATAGGTAATGAAATGACTGCAAGAAAACAAGTAGGCTCAGACAGCAGCAAGGACCACCACAGAAGGAAATTAAATAATTTTGACTAAAATTGGAAATTATAAGGTGGGGAAGGATATCATTCCTGTGGTTTGGATACAGAGCTTCTACCATGATGGAGAACCAATCCAGTGAAATAGTTAAAGTGTTAAATATAGACCAAGATGTCCTAAGATGTTTCCATTGAACTATGAAGCTTGCTGGCTGATCTTGGGCTAATCATTCTTTGTTAGACTAGGCTCTAAATATAAATAAAGTTTTTGGATTTGTTCTGCCACAAGACAGCACCTTTGTGAAGAAGCAGGGGAATTATTAGAACAAGTACCAGATTCAGTTTAACAATCCCCAGCATTCTTCTACTCACTTGAATACTCAGATCTCAACGCTGATGTCATTTTCCCACAAGGCCCAGATCCAAGATGGTTTTTCCCCCGTTTTCAATTTCCCTGTTACTTTCAATAATCATTTAGAATTTGGGACTGTTGTGCTTTCAAGTTTACTTCCAGAGTAATTGCCAAAATGAAAAACAACTGGAGTTTCATGAATGTCATGAGAAGAAAATTCTATTCCCTTCTCTACTCTTCCTGGAATGAAGCAAAATCTATCATAACAGTTTCCCTGTTCCTGCTTCTCTCCAGGGGCAACAGTTTACCAACACGCAAAACCTTGAAGCACAATGCATATATTGTTTTATTAAGAAAAAAAAAAGAAATGGTGGGAGGCGGCTATTCTTTTTAAAATAAAATCCATGTTGCATGTGTTGTTGTAATACGACACCAATGGCATATATATAGAGTGAAAAATACAGACATATTATTATAGACAAATGTTTACCAACCAGGCTTACCGAAGGGTAATGAGAGAGGATAGCCTGCCCTTTGATGCTATTGTGGATGGTGGGTGTTGAACCATTATGCTTGGTCTCTTCGACTGCACCACTGTCTCCTATGTTATTGCTGTTCAAAATAATGCATATGCAAAAAAGTTAATGATCATTATTAGATAAGGAATAAATCATTCTCAAAAGATGCTGCATTTACTACAAGCTGATTCAGAAATGCCATTAACTTTCTTCAGGGACAATCTGAAACATCTGCCTAGTTGGCTCTAGGTAAGTATCAAGTAATCTAGGAAGGTCCAGCCATAATGGAATGGGGAAAAAAAGCTTTTTTATGGAGAAGGCTCATTTCCCAGCCTTTCTTGCTTCAGGGATGAACTGTCGGGTACACTGATGATCTTTCCTAGTTGGGTAATGAAATGTCTGCAAGAAAACAAGCAGGCTCAGAAACCACCAAGGACCCCACAGAAAGAAGTTAAATAATTCTGACTAAATACTAGAAATTATAAGGTGGGGAAGGATGATTGATACAGACATTCTACTATGATGGAGAGCTACTGCAGTGAAATAGTTAAAGTGTTCCCATTGCACAACCCTGACCAAGATATACCAGCTGTCTGATTCATGTAAGGCAGCTTCCTATGGATCCTTAAGGTTTAAAAAAAATCTTCTCACTTTGTTTCTTGTTATTGGACATAATAAGCTCTGATGCAAACAGGCGTATGTATAGAATTATTAGAAATATGGCAGTAATGCCAATCAATTATTCTTCAGGGAATAATATTATTATTTTCCTAAAATAGATGTTTGTCACGATCAACAAACATGTTATGACTGGATAAATTTCTAGCATCCATTTGATCCCATGATTTTGGAATAAATGATTCATCAGTAGACTCTCATCACATACACGAGGTGCATATTTTAAGAATACACATACAGAATGAGTTCAGGTAACACTAAAAAGCCTTTTATAGAAAAGTAAACTTACCTGAGATTTTTATGCTGAATTGCATTGTCTCTTTTATCTTTTTTATTTTGTTTCCCTTCCTTACAAGGGATCTTTTGTTGAATCATCTCTCCTTTGTCAAACATCAGGTGCAGGCGGTAGGAGATCATCTTTATTATCATGAAAAATAAGGTCACAGAACCACAGTAGATGACAGCTGTAATGGTAGTGGGAGGACATGCCTAGACGGAAGAATAGTGAAGCCAAGCTCATCATCAAAAATGAACTGAGCATTTTTTAAAATAACATGACCGTGATTAATATTGTTGTGCTTTTTTAAAAAAAACTACAATTATACAGCTGATATTTGCCTTGTTCCTTTGCTAATTGTTTGAAATGTGTCATCTGTAGAAGCCTGTAAGATACTGTATATTATTATTATTATTCCTTTTCAGGTTTTAGAGAAGAGAGCTGGGGCTGAAAATATCACTTGCGAATAGAATTCATGGCTGACGAGTGGATTAGAGATTATAGTTAAATGTGCTAGTGATTGTCATGTTATCATTTTTCTTTAATGTTAAGATATTATGCTTTGTATTTATTTCATACTTAGTTTTTTTGGTTTAACTCTCCAAAATTAGGATGCATAGGTGCATGTGTGAGTGAGTGAGTGAAAGAAACTTTACTTGAGTGTATTAACATTGTAAATCAGACCTTAGGTATTATACTCAAGACTGACAGAACTACCCATTAGCTCTTTATATACCCCGTTTAATTTTTTTAGTGGGAGCAAAGCACAAGCAATTCAAAGTTCTGTAATAAGGGGCAGAAATATTTTTGTTACAATTAATAATAAAGGCATCACAGCTGATAAACTTTTGAGATCCCCTTTCGGGTCACTGCTTTTTGTCACTTAATTCCTTTCCCTCACGTCTTTCCTCTGCACCCAGGAATCTATCAAGTCCCTTGCCTATATCCTGGTAAATAAGAAGGCAACATGTGCCTCTTCCCCAAACCAGAGGCCTACCAGAGGACCCCTCATCCTCCTTTTCCTTGTGTGCCCAGACCTCCTGCCGGCCGATCAGACTCACCAAGTGCAGCGCCATGGGCAGCAGCAACAAGAACAGCCAGAGGTAGAGATGGCAGCTGTTGGTGAATTTGCTTTGCTCTGGATCGTGGTACCAACCTCCGGTCAACGCTGCCCACACTCCCTGCCGGAGCAGCTGCACTGCCTGGGACACCATCGCCAAAGCCCTGCGCGCAAAAGGCCTCCGGCTCAATCTCCTTGCCGTTGCTCGGGGTGGCGGGAGCGGCGGCTCCCTCTCCAAAGATGCTTCTCGGCGTCGGGCATCACCCGAACCTCCATGCCGGATGCTAGAAGGATTTTCCCATCATCCTGCGGGGGGAGCCCAATACACCAACCGGGTCTCCTGTCAGCCAAGGATGCAAAGCAAAGGCGGTGCTCTTCTCGACTCCGCCCCCCCCAACTCCCCACCTCTCCTTTCTAAAGATAGATTGCACTAAACTGCTTGCGGTGGAACAACACGTCGGAACAGGCTATGATTGAAGCGTATTCCGGGATTGGAACGTATTTTCCCTTCTGGGCTTGGCTCCCGTTTCCCTGTTAATAATCTATAGCCCTTAACTATACACATTAACATATGTTTGGCGTGTGTGTGTCGAACTGCAAATCCCATCATTCCCCGGCACATGGTTACTGGGGTAGTGGGGCGCCAGCTTGGAGAATACCTCTACCCTCGTCCTTTTCTGCCTCCCCGATCTTTTCAGCTAGCCTCCGCAAAAGTATCTTTCTCCCTCTCCTATCTTGGGAAAATTAGTAATACCTAGGAAGCAAGCCTGCCTTTACCTCCGTACAGTAGGCTAAACCTGTTTGGAATAGGACACTAAACTAGGATCAGACTTCAGGAGAAACTACCAGGGGATTCCAGAATCCGAGGCTGGACTGGAAAGTCTTAAAAGCATGCCAAAAAACGGCGGTGGCCAAATTACACGGAAGGTGCCATTTAAGTGCCAGGACTCCAGCAAGCCCGGAAAGCTATCTCTGTATGACTCCGGGAGAAAAGAAGAAAAAAAAGAACGAAATAAAAGGTAGAATTGTGCTATGGTGTCGCCGTTACTCGAAATTTGCCCTAAGATGTCGAGTTTTCCCTGAAATCTTCAGGTGTTGGATTAGAAGACTTCAAGGGTTGGACTAGATACAAGGGTCTCCAACCTTAGCAACTTTTAAGACTTGTGGACTTCAACTCCCAGAATTCTTCAGTCAGCAAAGTCCACAAGTCTTAAAGTTACCAAGGTTGGAGACCCCTGGACTAGAAGACTTTCAAAGTCCCTTCCAACTCTTAGGTATACGATAATGGGGAAAGAAACAACACTCCCCACAAATCAATCCCTGAAGTTATAACGATGGAGTTGGGCACTGAGTGAGTCAGCACTAGGTGTTGCAGGTGTCAAATGGCAACTCACGTCCTGGAACAAAACAATAATTCTTCTCCTGTTTCTGAAATTGCGGAGTCCTGTTTTAACTGCTCTTGCCTTGGGGAAAACACACAGGCTTCTGAAATTCTATGGAGATTCTCAGTCTTCCAGGCCATGGTTGTCCCAAAGGTGCTTTTTCAAGAGGCAACTGGACTTTCTAGTTTTTCTTTGAAGACGTTTTGCTTCTCATCCAAGAAGCCTCTTCAGCCCCCACCATTCAGCCAGAGCTGAAGAAGCTTCTTGGATGAGAAGTGAAACGTCTTCAAAGGAAAACCAGAAAGTCCAGTTGCCTCTTGGAAAAAGCACCTCTGGGACACAGGCTTCTGGCTGGGTACCACAGCTTAAGTTTTCTATTGAGATATCTATATTAATTATCTAAAGGCTGCTCTAAACCCTGCACAAAAATGATGAATTGTGAATGCCATGCGAAGTAGACTCCTTGGTACGGGAAAAGGTTCTATGGATTTAAATGCAAAGAACTACAAAGCCAAGACATGCTTGTTTTATGTCCTTCCATCCACCACTAGGAGGTGCCATTGACAAGGTTTTCAACCAATTTAACAGCAAGGAGAAACGCTTCAATTAATGTGTTAACCCACAGCGGGTTCTTTCCAGTGCTTTAATGTGTAAGCTTTCTCCTTCCTGCTGTGTTTAATATTTGAACAGAGTGATAGTTTTATCAATATGCAGTCTTGTTCCTTCTTGGTGTCTTTGGTGATTTGGAATTAAGAATGTGTCTTGAATTATATTACATAACCGTTCTTGTATATGCTATTGCATATGTGTATTTCTCTCATGGCTCCTTTAACTAGCAAATTCATGTTATGACGCCAATTTATTAAGCATAGCATTATGATTAAATCAAAGGAATATATTCAAAAATGTATATTGCTCCGTTTCCTTCTGTCTCTCTTCTTCCCTAACAAGGTCAGCTTGTTGGAATAGCAAACCCCGCTCACATCTCAAAGCTACTATGTTGCATTCCAAAGAATGTGCTCATAATTGAATGCTCCACTATGAATGATACCCATGCCTGCTTTAGCGTGGCCTCATTTCTTTATTGGCTGTAAAGAAATTCTATTGGGTCTCCTTTGGATATAGAGTACATATACGCTCACATTTTCTTTGATCTACGCACTATGTTACAGAATAGAACTAGCATGGAAATAACGTTTTTCATTCTTCTCCAGTTGGTGGTCTTTTTTTAGGTGAGCTTTTCACCATTATAGCTCATCTTTGAAACAATTGGTTTTTTAAAATCTGTTGCAAGTGTGCCTGCTTCTTCTCTCTTCTTTCTGTAGAACTCACTCCTACCAATGCATGCGAACCTTCCTCATTTATCAGCCAAAAGACTCAAAGCCAGGAAGCTTACACTGGCCCTTGTACAACACCTGCTCAAGAACTTTAAGCTCGATTCCCAGTGGAAAGCCAAATGGGTCTGTAAAGGCCCCGAGACAGGAAGACATAAAAATGACCCCAGAAAAAAAGTGCCCGGTTCGAACTACCACATCAGCAATGGATAATCCTGAATAGGATTTGCACTTCACACGGCATCTGCCGGTATTCCCTGTATAAATGGGGCACAGTATCCTCCCCTCAGTGTGACTATGGGATCCCACATCATGACCAGTTGTAAGCTGAGAGCATATAAACAAGGCTGTATGCCAATGATTAGGTGACCTAGACATTGGTATTTGAACATAGATCTTTTAAAGATTTATATTTTATTGTGTTTCATTAATCTAGATGAAAATCTAGATGAAATACATATTGCTAGTTCACGTATGACATGCTGTACCAGTGGTGGGATTAATTTTTTTTTACTATCGATTCTGTAGGCATGGCTTGGTGGGCGTGGCAGGGGAAGGATACTGTAAAATCTCCAGAGTTGGTATTTGCCAGTTCTCCGAACTACTCAAAATTTCCGCTACTGGTTCTCCAGAACTGGTCAGAACCTGTTGAATACCACCTCTGCCATACACTAAATAAATAAATCTATACAGGCTTTAAAACTTTTCAAGATTTGAACCCCACCTTCATCCTAGGTTCAAGTTTTCTTGCTTCTACAAAACAGAGTTGTACAGATGTACATTCACCATCATCCAAGCTTCAGGTCTCCAGTATAACTTATGTCCAATATATGAACTCCTGAAGGTCTTACATACTTTCAGTGGAAAATGGAACACTTTATTCATGTATTAATTCCTTTTGGAAAAGCTTCAGTCCTCAGCCAAGAAAAGGAAGGAAGGGTCTTTTGTCAATGAAAGATTAATTATAAAACAATTCTTGCCATCAGGCTTATAATTTAAAAGATCGCCTATTGCAATGTGCACCATTACATCATTCTGAATACAGTGGAATATAGAAGGGGAAGCCAAGTTCCAACTGAATCATTTTGTATAACCATCTCCCACAAATTCATTTAAGATATTTGTAATGTGGGCTCATCTTTCAGTCATGCTTGTTGTTTTTTTTGCCATTCAGAAAAAGCTGGTGTGCGTTGCAATTTGCGAAGGTTCGTTTTAGAAATTACCACTAGTTTCCTCTTTTATAAATCACTGAAAAGGGGTGTCAGAGGTTTTCTCTGATGATGTGCTCAAAATAAATAGCCTGCTTTCCTATCTGTAGTACAGTCATTAAAAAGCTAAGTTGCCATGTGGCCACTTTTCATTGCCAAAGCAACTAACCTTGGAGAAATTTTCCAGGGACACTAAAAGGAAACATCTGTATGACAATGTAATATGCATGCAAGATAACTCCTATTATAAAGATTAGAGTTTGCGTGCATCTTACTTTAAACACTTTTATCAATCACTTAGCTGAAAATGCTTCCAAATCTGTTTACATTTTACTAATGGTTAAAAAAAACCCAATCCCTACTAACCTAAGGATACTTTTTCAAAAGGCAACTGGCCTCCTTTTGTTTTTCCCCAAGAGAAGATGAGAAGCAAAACATCTTCATGGAAAAACAAAGAAAAGCCAGTTGCCTTTTGAAAAAGCAGTTTTGGGACAGCCATGACCTGGATGACTGAGAATCTCCATAGACAATCCCTGCTAACAAGCTTAAAATTACAAAGAAATGAAAAAAATGGGGAGGACAGATAAAAAAGGCACTAGTGCCAATCCTGGAGGTTATTGTTCTTATGACCCAGATGAATAGCAATGGGTGAGAGGATGAGTCAATGGGAGACTTGGCACTGCATTCCTATAGCACCTGCTATATATAATGGACAAAAGAAGTGTCAAAAATACCAGCTGAACAATAGGCTAAAAACTAATGCAAGATGGTTTGCTTAAAGAGTTGATTGCTACTAAACTATTAGTGGAGAATTTAATACAGATCTGTAATTATAACATTTCAGTACTGTATAAGTAGGGGCCATGGTGGCTCAGTGGCTAAGATGCTGAGCTTGTCGATCAGAAAGGTCGGCAGTTTGAAACTCTAGCACCACATCACGGAGTGAGCTCCCGTTACTTGTCCCAGCTTTTGCCAACCTAGAAGTTTGAAAGCATGTAAAAATGCAAGTAGAAAAATAGGGACCACCCCGGTGGGAAGGTAACCGCATTCCATGTACCTTCGGCATTTAGTCATGCTGGCCATATGACCATGGAGACGTCTTTGGACAGTGCTGGCTCTTCGGCTTTGTAACGGAGATGAGCACTGCCCCCTAGAGCCAGAAACGACTAGCACGTATGTGTGAGGGGAACCTTTACCTTTACTGTATAAGTATTTGGTCTACCTGAGGAA